CATACTAAGACAAATGTCGAAGTACCTGATTTAAAAGATACTTCCATTGAATACAAATTTCTTGAGAATTTTTTTTAGATGATAAGATGGAATTCCTGTTGATTTAAAAAAGGAATGCTGATTTAAGTTAATTTAAAAATAATTCGAATTCCTTTTAGCAATAAGGACCTTTTAAAACATTCTTTCGAAATCTTGAAGAAACTGTTGAAATTTTCGCACTAGAAAACAGTTTTTGGCTATTTTTAGGTAAAATTTACAATTAGTAAAATTTAAGTGTAGAAAGTGTTTAAAAAACTCCTAAAATATCACTTTAGGTATTTTTTAACATTTTTTTCAAACATTTTTAGCGTTGCCCTGGTAAAAATTGGCAGTAGAATCTGTGTTCCAAAATACCATAGACCAACAGCCGGCTGTAAGATTTCCAGTAGCTTCTATAGCCGGCTACACAATTTCTTATAGCCTTTTATAGCCGATGGCGATTAAGCAACAGCCAGGCGATAAAGTGTATGCTAATTAAACGTTACTAATTACGGATGCTAGGACTTAGTGAGTTTTTGGAATACTGCTCTCTTTTTGGGCCGTAGTATCTTGATTTATTTTGCAAGGAAAGCTCCGTACTTTTCATGGATGCCTGCCATTACTAATATATTAGAGCGCCTTCAGTTTCGTATGATACTGTGAAATACCTCTGGTGTGAAATAGTTGCTTCAAGCGCCGTGGCAGGCAGGCAGCCAGCGCGAAACACGGATTGGCGCCTACAAACCTAACAGGAATACTTCACGCGTTGCGCAATGCGTGAAATATTCCTGTTAGGTTTGTAGGCGCCAGTGCGCCGCCGCTCCGCTTTTTATTAGGCTCTAATATTATTAATCTCGCGGAGTCAGCATTTTTCAACTTATGACTTTGAAATGTTTGCACACTCTGTATGGATTATTCTCATTTTAATTGATGAAAAAAAAATGTTTTAAAGGAAAATATAATATACGTTTTGTAAATATTAAGGTAGTTCTGTGTCCAACTTAATGATTTCCAAAGCACACGAATTTCTACACAATTTCTTATAGCCTTTTATAATCGATGGCGAAAAAGCAACAGCCAGGCGATAAAGTGTAAAGCCCGGCGATAGGAACTATAGCCCGGCTACATAATTTTTTATCGCTTCGTACAGCCTGGCCGTATGATTTTCTCCGCATTCTACAGCCATATGATTATCTGATCGCTATATGATTTTCTGTAGCCCTCTTTAGCCGGCTATAAGAATTCCTATGGTATTTTGAAACGCTGCTCTTATCGCCAATTTTTACCAGGGTAAAAAACTACAATTGATATTTTAAGAGTTTTTAACACTTTTTTTACTTATGCTTTACCGCTCGTAAATGCTTAAGAAATGACCAACAAGGGTTTCATAGTAAGAGAACCTTATACGTTTCTTCAAGAGTTGTCTTTTTAAAATAAAAGATTTCTTAACTGTCGTTGCTACTATAGTGTAACGGAGAATATTCTATGGAAGTTCCTTTGGAGTTTTGATCCGAGTAGACATTTTCCCTCGGTACACGTTCAGAGCACATAACACTTGGAGTAAAATACATACAACTATATACTATACTCGTCGTTGGCAAATTACTTTATGGGCAGCTATGAAACGTTTCCCATCAAACTCTCACATTTTGATTTTTTTTACCCTACTCAACAAAACTCGCTCTCTGAATATGGTGCATTTATGGATTCAGGTTTTTCTATCTGAGGAAAATCAAAACTGCTTCAGAGAACAAGGTACGTGTAAAATAGCTGAATTTATGGAGGTAATATTCAGGGCACCGACGGAGGGGATTACCTAAGTTGCGACCCGATGCACGTTCGTAATGGTTTTCCATTTCCTGCGAAAAGTTGGAGAGCATATTCTTGAGACACACTGCCCTCCACTGAGGCAAAGCACAGAATAGAAACCCCTTTTTTCATTATTTTTTTTGGGGGGGGGGGTGTCATCCCTTTTTGCGTTGACTCAGGCAATCTCATAGATCTTAGATATACCTAGACGGATAAAGTGAAATCATGCGTTTCTATACATAGGAACGTTTCATAATCTCTGACTTTTTCCCCCTTCTCGTTAAGTTTCTGCCAACAGTGTACTCTTCATTTCATCGGTGACGAACATCATCAAAACCGCATGAAATTTCAAGAAGAAAAAAAAATTAAACTTGGAGAAGAGATACATCATCGGAGTGCATACGATAACTGGTTGGATATTCATAAAAAAACCGATAATTGTGTAGGTGGGTAGCTGACAATGAGTGTGAGACTATTTACCCGGAAAATTGATTCTGGACAGGGGCACAGAGGCCCGCAGGTAATCATCCTATTCATTAAATGCACGAGAGACTACCGCAAAAATACTTTTGTCGACAGATATTTGCATGAGAATCCGCAGAATTTGATGACGTCGCACAATTGAATCACTGTACGTGAAGAGTTATTCACGCGTGATGTGGTCGCGACTGAAATGCCATTACAGCTGTACTGGGTGGAAACAGGATGGCGGAAACTTTTCTGTAAACCATCAAATGAACTCATTTTCCCTCAGTGAAAATGAATGAACGATATGTTCATGATGAATGATCATGATGTTCAATCAAAAACGAAGCGACACTTTTGAAAACTTTTCATTGGATCTCAGTGAATTTTTTTCCTGTCTTCTGGAATATTTAAAGAACACCACCATCGCGTCGACCTAGCGGTGGTGGTTAAAAGAATGTTTGCATGGGTTCCAAGATGGTATTGATAATTTGATTTTGGAATCGACGCTTATCCACCGTTAGTCTAGTATATATAAAAAACCTAAACCCTGATAAATAGTTTATTTGATCTTATGGTCGCATCTCCTCATTTCCTGCCTTTTTCCCTCAATCCACGATTTGGTACGGCGTCCTCTACCTCCTCTACCAAGATTCCATCCCTAAATTTTTGGCAAATCTAAAAAAAATTATTGACCAGTGTGATCCTATTGCTATGCTGGCTGGCAACAATTATTCGTGAGGAGGTGTAAATTTTCTTTTATCGACCACCGATACCACCACTTCCTTCCTTGCTGATTCCACCTTTGACCTCCTCAATTACTCACCCCCCTTCAACCCCTAACCAACCCCTTCGACGACTAAGGCCGGATTTACGTATTTGCCGCCCATGGGCCGCCTGTATTTTGCCGCCCCTCCCCATTCGTTTTGAAACACCGATTCAAACAATCAAGTGAACGTGCCGGAGGGAGAGGGGTGCATAAGACGCGTTTACTCGTGTTGGGCACATTTTTTGTGAAAGCCCTTCCAACACTATCCAAAGTTCACGGAACTTTGCGCGAAAATTAAGTTCCGTAAACCTATCTCTGAGTGGACAAGGCTTTTCATTTACAAGAAATGAACGAAACAATTATGAAAGAATAAACATAAATGTGGTTTAATGATTTTAATTTCCGCCACCGCACCGACCGCATTGTGTTTGGCGCAATGCGTAATGTATCCCTACAGTCTTGTAGGCGCTATGCGTTTCACGCCGACCGCTGCTGACCGCTCTGTTTTTAACGCAATGCGTGAAGTATTCATGCAGTCTTGTAGGCGCTATGAGTTTCACGCCAACCGCTGCGCTGCTGACCGCACTACGTTGGACGCAATGCGTGAAGTATTCATGGAGTCTTGTAGGCGCTAATATGTGTTTCATGCTGACCGGTGCACCTAGGAGGGCTTCTCCTTTCCATCTCAAGTCCTCGTCATCATTGCTCTTTGCGCCGCGCCACTCCAAGCCAAATTGCGTGTTTGGTTTCTCTCTCAACTAGACTAATGAAAGGCGCTGTCTCTTGTATTACCGGTAGACGAACAAATTAGAAATTACTTTACTTTAACTCTCAAGAGATGAGAGATTTTTTCGCCTTTTCTCGTTTGAAATTATTTTTTCTAAATCGGATTTTTTCTTGATACCTTCATTTTTGAAAGAATTACAACATTTGCCGCCTCTAAATTTGCCGCCATAGGACGCGGCCCATGTGGCCACCCCCTAGATCCGGCCCTGTCAACGACCTCGTCATTAATTTCATGAATTGTTGTTCCCTCAAATGACTGGTACCCCAATTAATAACGTCATCGGTTGAAACACACCCAATTACTCCTTCTCCTATCGATAACGCCATCGATAGTTTCATTGTTAACTCGATTGTTAATCCCTCCTCAGGGCCGGATTTACCATTGGGCTACAAAGCCTACAGCCTAGGGGTGCGACATTCTGAGGGGCGCATACGTTTTGAGGATTCTTAAATGTACGCACCTACACTGAAAACAAAACTCCGGCCGTGAAAGCCGTACTTACGGGCTATGTAGACATACCGTCCGCGTTCCGGGCTCAGAGGCCGAAGGTTCCGGGCGTAGCACCCGGAGCAATCGAAGCAACAGCTCCAGCACCCGGAACTTTCGGCTTCTGAGCCCGGAATGGACGGTATGTCTATCATATCCCTAAACGGACGGTATGTCTATACATCCCGGAACGGACGGTATATCTATACATCCTGGAACGGACGGTATGTCTATACAGCCCGTAACTTTATTTTTTGAGTGTAGTGTACGCATTGAAAACCATTCTGGTCGAGAAAGGGTATCCCCCTCACATGATAACACTTATTTTTAGGGCGCCAAACGAAGTTCAGCTTAGGAACTAATCCAGCAGTGTTCCGTCTATGTCTATTGTCTATGTCTATGTCTATGTCTATTTCCTCCCGTGTTGACAACGCCATCATTGGTCTCATGGATGAGCCGCGATCGTTGACCTCTCCGCTGAGCCGCAGGGCAACAATGCGCCATGCGGCCGTAGGGGACAATGTACCCGCAGCTCCACCGGCTGATCCCGTCGTCACATTCGACATTCGACATTTTCCGCCGAGGACTCAAATTTACATTTTAATGGGGCAAGTGACTCGTCGTTCGTTTGCCAAGGAGCATCGCGCCGGACTCGCTCTGTCCGCACGTCAACGAACTCCTATCAGTATCGTCGTCCCCGGCTCAACGGTGTGACCACTGAATCCGTAATCGCGCCAGTATCCAGCATCCCGATACGCTCACCTCTGCTCCCCCACCCGCGCCGCGGTACCAGTTCGTATTTTTAGACCCTCCCCCCGAGCGCCCAAGATTACCCCTTCCCGTTGCCCCACGGCAGCTGTCTCCTCTCGCATTGTTAGTCTGTGCCCGATGTGCTGAGCCGGTCGCCGTCCGTCCACACCGGTCACCCCAACCGGTCTTCTCCGCTCAACAGGTATGTAAACAACTCACAGCTGACGTCCTGAGGTCTGGTTCGATCACCTTCGGTTAAGATCTATTCTCTGCTTAGGGACCGTTTACAAATTACGTTGCGAAGGAAATCGGATTTTCGTAATTCTCCTCTCGCCCTGCAACGCACTCCTAACGTGCCCCCCTCCCCCCCCCCTCAACCAAAATTTGACGAACGCTCATCTCAGCCTGGAGGGTCGCATCGATCCATCTCGCATCGATTTTTCACCTGAAATTTTCAAAAATCTCACTCTATGATATAAAATCATAAAAGTAACGCGTGAAGCATAACGCCTGAGGCGTGGACGCGTCGGCAGGTACACCGCGGAGCAGTCAGGGGGCATCCCTCCTTTTTAAATTAAATGTATCAGATTTCAGCCATACGTTACGCAGCCCTGGAGCCTGGAATCCTCCTACCTACGTAACGTAGGTACATGTAACACAGGCTCAGACCATCCCCCTTCCCCTTTGGCGTCACGTGTTTCATGACTAGCCTCTTAACATTCAACACTCATTTTGAATATTGTGTTGAATTTTTATCACGTAAATAAGGATAAATATTTTTAGCTTCAAAATGTCCAGCCAGAATAGAAAGTGTCATAAGACCATAAAGTTTACTGTGTACTTTAGCCCAGATTTCCCCAAAAGGACCTTTTAAAAGTTTTCGCCGCCAAGAGAATAAAACTAAAAGAGTGCGTCTAAGTAAAAGCACCGTAGTTCCAAACATGTGATCCTCTAAAGGAAAGAACGATAGATGACAAAGTGGAGATCGATCGTGAAGTTATATCGACGGTGAAACTACCAAACCACGTATCTCGGTTTGCGACGTCGCAGACTTCCTGTCATACTTTATTTTTTAAATGAAAAACTACTTAACATCCAGTCTTGAAAATTTCTGTGATTTTTCCACTTTGAGCGAAGAAAATTCTGTGAAAATTTCAAGGAATGATATTGATTTGGTCTACTTCAAAAAAATAAAATGTGAGCGTAGATTTTTAGACACCGCAAACGAGATACGTGGTTTGGTAGTTTCACCGTCGATATATTGATTTTATATTATTATTCTTCTTTCTCAATTTTTACTCGACATGTGCTCAATTATTTCTCACTGTACAAGGAGTAAGGGACCTCGGTTCAAAAAAATTTAAAATTTGATTATTGATATCAAAGTATACAGGAGTGCTGTACAAAAATTTTGGCAAAAAAAATTCTGGCAAATGTCAAACCAAACCGAAGTTAAGGCAATTTCAATTGCAATAAAAAAAATTAGTTTAAAAAAGAAGCTCTTTACGCTACATTCTAATCTGCAATCTTCGATGCCAAAATTGCCGAATTACGATGCAATAATACGTACATAATGTTCACAAAATTAACTACACTATTCAAAACTTAGCCTTCAGGACATTAGTGAGATTTTCTCGTGAAAATCTCAAAAAATAACCCGATTTGACAATTGAGGGGCTTGGAAGACAAAGCACATTACTTTGCAGTTTTTGAAAAATTTGAGACATTAACGATTTCAAGTAAAACTAGTCTTACATATTCTGTGAAAAATTCGCTCCCAAATTCCAAATTTTAAGCACCCATCAAAAAGTCAGTTAGAACTTTCTTTCCGCCACAAGGATCCATGTATTTTCGAAACTTCAAACATGCATTTCTTTAAATAGCAAAAACTGCACTTTTGCGCTTTGTCCTCAAAGTCCCTCAATTTACCTCTGTGGACTAAAGTCTTTTTTCTCGTGGACATTCACACATTCAAAACACACCGTAAGTTCGTTTTTGGGAACTTCATGCAAGTTAACTGCGCACCAAATAAAATGCGGCAATTTGCAAATTAGGCTCTCGGTTTTCCTACAATTTTACGAACGCCCCCACCATGGCAGTAAACAATCTGTCGCGTGACGAAAATGTATGAAACCATCCGCAATCAGCTATTCCTAGAAGGTGTATTCATCCTCGCTGTTATTGAAGCGTGCTCCATTGTTCCCATGTTGCGTCCTGTTTTAACCTATCACTAACCGACAGCGTCCACAACATTTCACGGTCAACTTTGGACATGATTTCCGAAACTTCGCACAATTTTCCAGTACTGCAGAGGAGATCATTTTCTTTAAAATGAGCGTGCGTGGAAATGCGCTTTCTACATATTTGGAATGGATTGAATTGATTTAAGGATGAAGATTGATACATGGAGAAAACGCTAAATTTTTAATATTTACGTGGATGAGAGAGGATACACTTACGACCGGCTCTTACGTCATGGCATTCAGATGGAGGAAAATAATTTTAAGGAATGAGAGCCAGATAGGCTAGATGCATAGCATCGTTGCAATTTTTTACTTTAAGATATATCAACGGTATGTAAGTCCGTAACCACGTATGTCGGTTTGCGACGTCGCAGACTTCCTGTCATACTTTATGAACTTGTGTGAATTATAAGTTGTTTTAAGTATTAAGTCCGTATTATTAATTTTTAGTGTACTCCGAACAAACTAAGAATACTAGGAGCATAATGAAACCGTCGTTAGGTCACAGATACGCTTAACTTTTAGAGTAGAAAAGGCTCACAGGTCACCGATAAAACATGAGTTTTTTTTTTCTTTTTTTTTTTTTATACCCGCATCATTTTCCGTGCTCACTTTATTCGATACGCTGCTCAGTCTTTATTTATTTTTTTCAGTTTTTCTTATCGACGGTTGGCTCCTGATTGGACTTAGAAAAAAACAAATTATTTCTGGCAGTGAAATGAACCTCGACGATAAGTTGATTTTGACTCGACAGACAATTAAAGCACGTTCTGATAAAATGTAAGCGAGAGTAAGAAATGACTCATCGACTGAACATCGTTTATACCCTCTTAATGTTTGAATGCACAAAGCGTTTTGTTTTGAGGGTTTAAACACCCACCTGTCGCCGTCAAGTTCACTCAGATTATAGTCTGCCTTGTGCATATTAATTAAGTGTTAATAGCACAGAGAGAACAAAGCAGAGGCGGATCCAGCAATTTGGCAACACGGGATTTCCTCCATTTAAACCTATGCTAATTAATCGATTCTTGTTGGAGCACATGGCTCCTCCAAGAATCGATACATTTCCATAGGTTTAAATGGAGAAAAGGCAATGTTGCCAATTTGCTGGATCCGCCAATGGAACAAAGAGCGAAACTCACGCGAGAACGTTTTACCTTTTAAAACTCTATGCTTCCCATCGAGAACTGAAAAAAAATATCGGTTTATTTACTGAGAAAAGGGTAAATTTACCAAGAATTCAGGGTTCTATTCGATTTCAGTTTTTTCTTGGTAAAATTACCATTTGTGGAATTGGTAATTTTACCGAGAAATCTCGGTAAAATTATTTAACTTTCTCGGTAATTTTACTGGACCTTGGTAAAAACGCCAATATTTTGTATCGACTGTGGTAGAATTACCAAGATAAAATGGCAAAGTTACCGGGAATCGATCACCAATAAAAGTGGTATTCTTACCTGAAAAAAACAGTAAAAATACCGGCTTTTAGGTATACTTACCAGTCTGTCTTTGTAAAATTACCAATAATTGGTAAAAAGGAGATGGTAAAGGTACCAACGGACCTTGGTAAAAACGCCGAGAATTTTTTTTCAGCGAGAGAAGAAATTTGCTGATGCAAAGCAATTTGATCGGGTCTTAAGACGCATGATTTTTGGTTTTTCAATGGATGTGCACCGCACAGTCAATACTCAGAGATCAAGTTATTTTTTTACTCAATGATTAACTGCGCGAAATTATCGGTCAAGGTTGGTGTCGCTAAGGACTGCCAACTAATCAGATGCATGATCATACCGTAACACTTGATTTTGAAACCAGGAGAAAAAAATCCTTAAATACCTACTTCAGGCATGAAGATTAATGTATAGATTCTAACTTTAATTTTGAGGAACTTATTAACTATTTAGGAACTACCGGATAAGTATTACCTACCGCTTCTTTCTTGTAATCTGAATGTTTACCAATTAAAAAATTAAAAGACCTTTAAGTATTCATTCGAGTATGGGTGGTAAGAAATACAAAAAATATGACTTAATAGGTAAATTTATTCAAACGATATCACGGGCTTCAATTCACTCACAACTTCAATGATAGTGAAAGCACGGTAACAGTAGGTAGACGGGAATGCCCGCAAAATGAAAAAAAAAATTAAATTCAGATTAATTAGGTTCAAATTATTAGATGGCGTATACATCTCAACACATTTACACTATATTTTTCTGATTTTTGTTAAATATAAGTATTACCACGCTTTTAGTATAGTTATACTTCTTTAAATTCTCCAAAATGCCGATTAAAATTCACCGTTGTTGATGTAAAATTAATGAAAAACCTATGATTTTACCTCTGTGGAGCTGTAGTAATTTAAAACACAAGGAGATTACCTTGTTAGTGATAAAGCTTAAGTTTTCTTTCTGAGTCAGTAAGATACGCTCACTAGTCATAACGCATCGTATTTTACGAGGTAATCGTAGGTGGTAATTTTTTTCCGCGTCGTTGGAAATTGACTGACCCCTCAGAAGATAACCACAACCTACCAGTATGTTTGTCAGACGAGAAGTTGATCTAAAGCATATGTTCAGACGGCATTGACAACCATGGAAACAACATTGCTTAGAAAAAGTAAGGTAAACATTTTTTCGCCACAAAATTAAGAGATGATAGACAAGCATTCACTCAAAATTTAGTAAATTTGTATTAATTGCATTCTGCAGGATCCGCAGAGTAAAATGAAATTTCACCGTACACACTTCTATAAATTTCATACAAAAACTTAATTACAAGAAAATGAATAAAATAATCTAAAGCATGAATGATCAACAAATTGAAAAAAGTTTTATAATGTTGAAAAAATGACTAGCCTGGTATCCATCGTTCAAAATGCTGACTTTACCAGGGTTCTAAAGTTTTCATTATAAAGTATAAATTTTCTACTCCGTTAAAATCAATTTGGGCCATTTTTGTTGCACACGTACATAACGCAAACCCGGGCCCTCGCCTGATGATCTACGTAATATTTATACTGCCGTGATACGGAAAAAACGCCGTATGAATATTCGAGAGTTGCCAAATTTCTCCGAGTAAAACATGTATTTTTTAAGGAAAGTTATGCATATATTACCGTAAATTTTCTAATATGTTAGATCAAGTTTCGACCAAAATTATCAGAAAAATTCGAAAAAAAAAAAATCAAAATTTTTCCAGTAAGTGCGGTTTTCAGTAAAGTTAATCTGGCAACGTCTAAAGGCTTATACGGCGTGTTTCCTTAGCACGGCAATATAGCACACATCACTCCCTTGATGCAATATTTGATTCGATTGTTTCGTAAAGTTTGGCGCAGTCATCTTTTTTACCACAAAAGTTACTCTTACATTTTTGCACCTAGCGCTGGACTGCAGCTTCCTCCCTCGTTTCGTGCAGTCACGCCCGCTAACAGGGGTCCCCATCCCTCCCGAGGCAGTTGAGAAGCCCCCCCCCCCCCAAAAAAAAAAAAGAGTGCTTCCTCTTAATTAATGGGGCGAATCCACTCAGGCAGCGGGGGTCCAGAGCTCTTCCCCGGAAAATTTTGAAATTTGATCTTTAAATCGCAATTCTAGGGAATGAATATGTTTAAATCCACAGGGGTTGAGCATGACGCTCAAATCTCTCCCTCCCTCATTTGCGTTACAAAATATTTGCACGCTCACTTTGCACATGAAAACTGAAGTAAGGAAAATTTCTCCTTAAGGACTCATTATTCTTTCAGGGCTTTTAAAAGATATGAACTAAGGCATTTTCAGGGGGAAAAAAGGATATGCCACTGCTGGCACCATTCTTACCTACCTATGTGCATATATGTAGTCACGTGATTTGAAAATGTAGATAGATGTCAGGTAACGTCGGCTTCCTTACAACGCGCAACATAATGTCGACTCATCATACACTCCTCCCCCTTCCCTTCAGCTCCGTACTTAGGATTTCTTGCGTTTTTTTTATGTTAAATTATAATGGATGATTCTCTAAAAAAACGAAAGCGGCGAATACACGCAATGTATTTTTATCAGTTTTTTTTCCATTTCGAACGCATTGAAGCGTTTAGAAATTAGGAATCTCATTAAGTCGACAAGAAGCTACACTATTCAGTTAGCCACGTGCTTCAGATGCGTTTGATAGATAAATAGAATCTACTGGACAAATTAGATACAGAAAAAAATAGCTCAAGTTAAATTCAGCCAAATTTTTGTTGGCATTTCATTTTCCCAAAATAGAATAGAACGAAAAGTATAAATATGGCGATTATTTTTAGCAGAGCTAGTCCCAAAGTATCAAACGTAGAAAATGTGTAGAGGAATCTTTTTTTCATCCTGCAGCACTCGGAAACTTTTTTCAAGCCATTATGACCCCCACCCTCCTCCCGTGGCCTAATAACTAACTAAAAGAGCATGCAAGTACTGTATTTTTTCTGTTATTGCAGTTCGTTTATTTTTTGTACCTCTCTTGAAAACCGAGAGGAAAAACAGCTTTTAATGGCACTGAAAGCTTTGTTAAGTTTTTTGTCCGTCTGAGGCAACAATTTTTTGTGTACGCGTGACTTATTGTCGCTGACGGTCTATGTTTTTACTTTATTTTTTACTTGCAGGTTTTGAAGGAGCCCCTTACAACATAGTCGAGGCATGATGACGTCACTCCTAACGATAGTTGTGCTCGGCGTTTTCCTATTGGTCCAGTTAGCACAGGCTCTTAACAATGGGTTGGCTCGCACTCCACCTATGGGCTTCATGACCTGGCAGCGGTTTCGCTGCATCACTGACTGCCATAAATATCCCGATGAGTGCATCAGGTAAAAATGGCCATGCGAAAAAATATCTCAAAAGAAAAATGAAGAAAAAGACAAAGTAGTGAAAATCAGTGTGGGTTGAATTTAATCAGACCAAGTTACGCTGGATGCACAGCGCAAATTACCTCGGTCCTTCTTGACATAATTTTTCCAAATCCAAAAATGTTTTTTCCTGGGGATTTCCATCACATGTTCTTGACAGCAACAAATATCTGTCAGGAGAGAGTTTAACAGCAGATGGAACATTTAGTCACAAATTTGATAAATGTTGTATAATACTGCATACATGTATTCCACAATGCTTATGTTACTAACTTGGTGTGTACGTGACAGGGCTGGTTTAGCTGTATACCCCGAACGCCCCCTGGAACAGTTATTTCCGTTGTTTTTAGGGGTGATTTGGACCGGGGCGAGGGCACTATAGTGAGATCATCCGGGACCCTTTCTTTCATTGGAAACTTGAACCGCCTTCAATTTACGAAGTATACAACCCGCAATGTGCGGGCCCTTATACCCGCCAGCACCCCGGGGCTCTGAGCGCTAATCCGGTCTTGGTGCTTACGTGACACGTGGTGTGCTCACAAAAATAAGGAGGCTATCTTAAAGAAAGTGATTTTTTTGAAAGTTAAAAATATTGTTGTGTGGGGGCCTCAATCCGTAAAATCTGTGGGAGATATCATTGGGTTTTTCAAAAATTTCAGCGTATTTACGCTGGGAGAAATCGTTTACGACTAGTCTAGGAGTGAGTCTTAGAAAAGCTTCACCAAGATTTAGGATAGGTACCAGCCCTTCCCTTGCAGGGTTAGACACAAATCCGAGAAGGGCCAGCGCTTACCAAGAATCTAGGTGACGCCATTTGGCCTACATACCGCCTCAGCCATGAAGCTAAACTCTTTTTGTCGTTTATCAAATGTAGATATAACAGAATTGTGTAACGCTATCAACCAATGAAGGAGATCAATCAAAATCTATCGAGTACAGCCTTCCTAGATAGCCGCAATATTTGTTCTGTCGAATTTTCAGCGAACGTCTGATTCAGAGAACAGCGGATAAGATGGTGGAAGACGGATACCTGAAGGCCGGCTACGAGTACCTCATTATTGACGATTGCTGGCTAGCCAAAGAAAGGGATCAAGACGGCAAACTCCAGGCAGACAAAAGCAGATTCCCCAATGGAATGAAGGCTGTATCCGACTATGTAAGGCATTTTTCACCCTATGATAAGTTCATACAGAAATTGAGGGAAACAAATTGAGTCTCCTTCCTGTAAAAAAAGACACGTGACTCTTGCATTTTGTCAACTCTGGCACTACTAGCAGTGGCAAATAAAGCAAGATCAATAATATCAATGCAGAAAAAGATTAAGGCTAGCAGGGCCGGATTAAGGGGGTGGCCACATGGGCCGCGGCCCATGTCGGCAAATCTAAGGGGCGGCAAAAATTTGCAATTTTTCAAAGTGTAGGTATAAAAAAAAATCGGATTTTTAAAAGCAAAATTACGAACGAGAAAAGGCGACAAAATCTCTCATTTCCTGAGAGTATAGTAATTTCTAATTTTGTCGTCTCTTAGTGATACAAGAGACAGCACCTTCAATAAGTCGAGTTAAGAGAGAGATCAAACAAGCAATTTGGCCTAGAGCGGCGCGACTTAGAGAGAAATGATAATGAGGACTTGAGATGAAAAGGAGAAGCCCTCGGCGCGGCGATCGGCATGTAACACATATTAGCGCCTACAAGCCTGCAAGAATACTCCACGCATTGCAACAAACACAGTGCGGTCATTGCGGCCAGCGTGAAACGGATAGCGCCTACAAGAATGCATGAATACTTCTCGCATTGCGTAAAACACAGTGCGGTCAGCGTGAAACGCATAGCGCCTACAAGAATGCAGGAATACTTCACGCATTGCGTCCAACACGGTGCGGTCTGCGCGGCGCTGCGGCGGAAGTCAAAATCATTGGACCACATTTATGTTTGCTTTTTCATAATGTTTTCGTTCATTTCTTATGAATGGAAGGCCTTGTCCACACAGAGATAGGTTTACGGAACTTAACTTCCGCGCAAAGTTTCGTGAATTTTTGCTAATAGTATTGACGGGGCTTCCCAAAAAATGTGTTCAACACGAGTAAATGCGTCTTATGCACCCCTCCCTCGCTGGCACGTTCATATGATGGTTTTTATCGAGTTTCAAAACCAATGAGAAGAGAGCGGCAAGTAAGTGAATCCGGCCCTGAAGGCTAGAGAAAAATTAGGCGTTGAGTGTAAGCTTAGTTCTCGTTGAGAATTATCTTACATTTTGCCCTGAAATCAGTCCAAGCACCACAAAGACTGACGTCAGAGTTCTGATTTTAGCCTCGAAATTTTCCAGTAAATGGCGGTGTGGAAGACATAGTGATTCCTATCTTCTTTGTTTTCATTGGATAGCCGGATTCTCGTGTATCGAAAACAATCGATTATGTATGTGTAACAAAGTATTATATATTATTTATTATGTAAAAAGTGACCCAACGTGACACAAGAGTCTCGGAATCCGGGACCTGGAAAATGCTTAAAATTGTCGCCAGTTCTCCCACTTACATTACGACGCTATGTACTCTATGATGGATACATGGCCGGTGCTCGAAAAGCTGTGAGTCATTTCGGTCGACAGGAAGACACCGATTTGAAACCCAAACAATGATCAAAGCCCGCTGAAACAACCGCGTGAGAGCGAGACTGTCAAAATTCAACGAGGCCCGGGGCATCAAACGAAATGGCGCGTTTTTGCAAACTCAGCGCGTTCGCAATTTTGGGAGCCGCGTTCTGTGCGCCCGTGAATTCCGTCTTGAATTATGAGCACGAGTGAAAAGCGGGCGAGGCGTCTCGCGGTGCACTGAACGGAAAGGTGAGCCTGGGAACCTTGTAATGCTTGATCACTGTAGCGTGAAATTTGCACAGAAAACCAGGTGAAGTTCAACTTCATCGAGGCTCGTCTTTCAATTAGATTGATTTGGCGTGTCTCTGAGTTCAGCTGCCAGACTGTAGGAGCGAATTCAATGGGTCTAAATACGACTTTTTTTCTTCTGAAGAAAAATTTTCCAGCAAAACTCCCAGTTGGGGTGACACGGCGGCCCCCAATCAGTTGGGGAAATCATTGGGGGGGGGGATTACGGTAGAGACCATTCCTTTTTCAAAATGGCTTTAGCCATGACTTTAGCGCTGACATCATTCGTGACCTCAAAAATATCGAAATTTCAGGTCAAATGGGAAATTTTAAAAAGCATCTCCTAGAATGCCCTCAAATGAAATCGATCTGCACTATAGGGATGACCTAATTTTCGCAAATGACGTTGCTACTTTTTGAAGCACTCAGATCTAATTTTTAACACGTCGTATTACTGATGATGTTTCATGTCTGTTACTCCGGACACGGAAGAAGAAAAAAACGCAAAATTCACCGTCATTCGATATTCCATACCAGGGTGTTTCTGTCCCCCTTGGCCACTGTGAGGCCCAAATCTCGTCGAACGGTCCATGTCAGCAGAGAGCCACCTGGTGGCAATAAAGGTAGCTTCAAAATGGGCTATCGATAACCCACCAGGTCTGCACCGGTAGCCGGTAGCCATTGTGGAAGCTGGAAAAAAGCACTAGAAAACCACTTTGACGCTTAATTTGGCCTCATGATTTCACGATGACGGGAATACTAGTAACACCACTTTCATTTTCAAGTATTTTAAAGGCCATGAGACAAACTAGTCGAAGAAGAACATGATTGCCCCTAGTAATCGTCCCATTTGTGACCCTGCATTTTCATGCAAATCTTTAAAATCAGTTATCATTGGACTAAGACTTTTAGTGCATAAAGTGGGATGTCGGTTACGCATTATCGATAGAAAAAATGTCCCATCGGTACCAATCCGACAGGGCATAGTACAGTCTAAAAATCTTAGTAACGATAATTTCTCATATTTATTCCATGGGTCAATGCAGGGCTACAATCAACCTCAAACGATTTTCAACAACAGTTGTAGTCTCTTTCAATTAAAGTGTTCGGCATGTCGCGTCACGCCGTTGCGGAAACAGCTGATATGATCTGGCGTGCTAAGGAAAAACGCCGCATGGACATTCGAGCAATGCCAAATGTCCTCCGCTAAAATATTCGTTTCTGAGGAAAGTTATGAATATTTTTCCTTGAAAAGTTCAAAAACTTTAGACCGAACCACTAACAAATATCCCTGAAAATTTTGAAGAACAATATTTGCACATTTCCTCGGAAATCCGTACATTTTCAAAGGAAATTCGGCAACGTCTGAAGGCTGATATACGGTATTTTTCCTTAGCACGATACTTATGTGGTTCCCCTCCTCTGATCTAAATACGACCTGAATATTTATAAAATTGTTTGACAGGTACACGCCAAAGGTCTGAAATTTGGAATCTACGAGGATTACGGGAATAAAACGTGCGGTGGCTACCCAGGAATACTGGGTCATTTGAAAAAAGACGCAGAATATTTCGCTTATTTGGAGGTCGACTACATTAAAATAGACGGTTGTTACTCCGTCCCATTTTATGAAATGGAAGATGGTAAGACCCACAAGTTTACATTTTTTTAGTTTTTTCTTGAGGGTATGTATGTGTCGCAGGCAAATAGTAAAATCAGGCATTTCGTCAATTGGCTAGGCACATAGTCAAATATTCTAACTTAGATTGAAATTCTGATTCTTTCCCTAATTTCAGACAAAATAATTCGTTGCTGCTACAAGAAAAAATTCTCAGTAAAAATTTGCACCGCACGATAGTATTTTAAACGAGTTTTAGCTTCTGAGCAGACACTGATCTTGACATTTTCAGCATGTCATAGAATACTGAATTTTCGAAATTTAAACTTTCAAAAATATGAGAAGCAATTGAAGAGAAAGAGACAAAAAGAGTTCGTAGGTTTGATGAGTTACTTTTCCAAAAATAGTGAAAAATCGTGAGCTCATATGGCGTTTTTACTCAACATGGCAGAATAGTGGACACCAATCGTGAGAGTCTGAAAAGTTGCGTATCAATTTTTAATGTTTCAAAATCTTTGCTGATTATGCTTTATCGAAGAAAAGACGAATGGCCGTTATTGTTTGCAATTTTCTCGGAATATTCTGTATCGGATGAAGAAAATTAAAGCTCCAAAAAATGATCCTTCAATTTTCAGTTTTCCTAAAAGTTATTAAATACCTGCAACGCCGCACAGTGGATCGAGTCAACAGGAGAGGTCGGACAAAATTTTGAAACCCTAAAAGCTTATAACTCCGTTTATATACAATTTTGAGGTTCTGAAAGTGGTTCCATTGGTTTTCTCGTGAAATTTTCTAGTAGAAGCACCTCTTGAAATTTAAAAAGTGACGAATTAAACATCAAAATTTGCAGTTTTAGTCAAAAATTGTATGTCCAACCTCTCTTTAACTCAATCCCTTGTGAGCAATACATGTTTGCAATACCATGTCGCCAATACCTTGTGTGAATACATTTTTACGTGTTTTTCGACGATCAATCACCATCAATAAATTTTGGGATCACAGCCGGCAAGAGAGTCATGAAAACGATTTGGAATAAATTGGAGATGAAGAAGAAAGATCTTTAAAACAATCGCAAAATAAGTGGTTTTTTCCTTATTCCGACCTACTTCTCCAATTGCTCGAAAGCAAATTCACAGGTACGAGGTAAAAAATCGGAGCGTCCGTCTGAACGCATTTTGATGATTTCAGGTTACAAGCTATTCGGGAAATATCTAAACGAGACCGGACGGCCGATGGTCTACTCTTGCAGTTGGCCAGCTTACTTCAACGATGCCAGTTATCCGGTAAAAAATGATATTCACGTCACGTCCATCACTTGCCCTGGTAGCAATGACCGTAAAATACATGTTTCAAAAACTATTTAAATAAAACTTTTAGAATGCTCGTTTTAGGAAACCCTTTTGGACTATTTTTTAAAGGAAAAAGCTCTTTGTGAAAATAATTTCCTCAAGAAACTATTTTAAAAAATGAGTACTTTTTCATGAAAAAATGTTCAAACAAAAAATCTTTTCCACTGCACCACCGTAACTTAAGAACAATGCATGTGGACTAAAATTTCTTATGTGACTGTGTAATGGCCCCATGGCTTCCTATGCAGAATAAAATAGTATTTATTTTATTTATTTATTTTAAAATATCCATAAAAAGGCCTCCCAAAAAGAACAATCTAACTAAACAGTCTTTTTAAGAGTTGGTTTTTTGAAATTTACAAGTTTCTTAATACAAATTTAAACAGTCGTTGCTACTATGGTATCTGCATCTCCTCCCTCTATAATGACCGCTGACTCAAATAAGAAGTTTATTGACTATCGTTTTGTCACAATAATTTTAAAGCTTCAAACTGGAACAATGCTGCTGAGTTAAGGAAGAGAGTAGTAAATGAAAAATGAAGTTTTGACAATTTTTTTCATTTTTTCGAGAAACTGACCCTCTACTATTCTCCCATTCAATTGTGTGTTTTCAAGTAATAATTATGCAAAATTCCCTGAATTAGAAATAATTGGCCCTTCAGACCTGCAGGAAAACAAAATATGAGGCAGCAACTTCATAATGCAGCAAATTGAAATGGTGTTTTTATGTAATGTCATCATCGAAATTTTCTTTGCCTCTTCTTGGGATGAATAATTTCAACATCGAAGATGAGACTTTTAAACCACGTATCTCGGTTTACGACGTTGCAAATTCTCTGTCGTACTTCATTTGTAAAACAGAAAACCACTCAACGTCAGTGCTTAAAAACTTCTGTGATTTTTCCTCTCTGTGCGAGGAAAATTCCTTTGAAAATCTTGAAGGATGATGTTGATTTCTTCTCTCTCAAAAAAATAAAATGAGAGCGGAGATTTTAAAACGCCGCAGACAAGATACGTGGTTTTGGAGTTTCATTGCCAATATCTAATTTAATAATTTAATTTTATTTTTTTTTTAAAAAAATTGTAGCTCAATTACGAGATACTGAAAGAACACTGCAATTTATGGCGTAACTACGATGATATTCAAGACAGTTACCAGTCACTCACTCAAATTATGGATTGGTTTGCTCTAGTTCAAGATAGCATTATCCAACACGCGGGGCCCGGTCATTGGAATGACCCAGACATGGTGAGGCACCATTGGTTAATTTTATGTTCATAAGAATATTAGCATAAAATAGCATGTATAGAATATATAGCATATAATAGGATAATAGAATATTAGCAGTAGGAACTGCTGTACTGTCACTTTAGAGGCGATCCTAGCAACAAACGGACAAAATATTTTTTTTAAAAAAAGAAAAAGAAATAAAATAAACCAGAACCTTGGCTACTTGCATACTTTCAAGAATCATACATCAATTACCGTCCATACGGTCACGGAGAAAGTAGCTTATTTGACCTTACATTGGATCTATTGCGCGTGCAAATATGTCCGAATATCATGTCTTAATGAATGATGGGTTGATCAGTCGAATAGTTAGAGGTCTGTTGACTGAACTACATTGCTAAATTAAACAATTTTGCAAAAGTTTACCTTCCACATAGACTATATTGCGCTCATTTGTTTTGAACAATTGAGGGGCTTAGAGGGCAAGACGCATAAGTGCAGTTTTTGAAAAAATTGCACTTATGCACTATTGTGCATAGGGAAACTAATGGCACATACGTTATTTTTAAACCGGGCCGGAATTTATAGGTCCAAATTGCAAAATGCAGTCCAATTGATCTTCATCTTATGAAAATTCTGTTTCAGCTTTTAGCAGGGAACTATGCACTGACTCGTGATCAAGCTAAGATGCAGATGGCCGTATGGGCTATACTGGCCGCCCCTCTGCTGATGTCAGTGGATCTTCACACGATCAAACATGAATTCAAAGAGATTCTCCAGCACAAAGAGCTTATTGAAATCAATCAGGATCCATGGGGATTACAAGGGCGTCGAGTTTTAAGAGTAAGTATCTTTTCCCAAGTAGCACAGATTGCAATAAGTAGCAATTACATAGTAAAAAAATTGCAATTCAACTGAGTGTTGCGTATGTTGCCTAGCTCCTATTTGAAGGGGGCCGATTTATTGAAAATTATTGCAATAAAATTGAAATAAGTTGTTATCATTCATTGCGCAATGCGCATTGCATATTGCCTATCTTTCTGACACGTGGAACTCATTTTGTTGATTGATCAAAATCGACATAAATCGACTAAATGATGTAGAAATATACAATTTAATGGTAAAAAAATTACAATGGTATTGAAATCAAATTGCAATTTAATCACAATATTTTCGTTGCACTTAGCTACTTGGGTTTCAGTCCAGCATACAGTGGTAAAGATGTTTTCATCCTGAAAAACTGTTGAATATACTTAAGTGCTTTGTTACGAGAGGTGTGAAACTCAGACTTCCTAAAATATTATTTTCAATGCAGAGGAATTATTTTTAGGAGCAATGGAGCATGCAGACGTTACTTTTCATTTTTTTTTTTTTTTTTGAAAGAACAAAAATTTATTCAGTAAAGGATGAATGCTTTTCGTCTCATTCCCTCACCAGGTGAATAATCGAATTTCAATTACTTCATAGATTTATATTTCTAAAATAAAAAAAGCCAAACCCTCAATACACTGTCGATTAGTCTCTCCAAAGCAGGGTAAGAATGTGGATAAAAAAAATGTATATTTTTACGATGCAACGAGTTTTCTCCTCTAGTTTTGAACGGTTTTTTTAAAAATATTTTTTTTTTTTTAAAGTTGGGTATTTTTCGAGATAGACATTCGTTTTTCACCGAGGTAGCTCAACTTCGTGGGCAATCCTATTTGCGTAAAATCTTAGGCAGCACTTTTTTCGCCCATTTCCACGATTTGCGCAAGGCTGGACACCCAGAACAACTGTTTAGAATTATTTCCTTCGTTTTCATCAGATTCTCCGGAAACGCCGAAAAGTATTATCATCATTTTTCAAACTTTTCTGAAAAAACAATAGAAAACGATCGAGAAGTGTGCCGGTGAAAATGTGGGAGAGAAATATGCTGACTAGGGCATTGTTACTCTCCCATGCGAATTGCGAACGCATTTTGAAACATGCGCTTTTTGCCCAAGTCTGTGGGTGCAATCACAGAGAAGTGCAAAAAAGCAACGCTGCCACGATGATAAAAAAGTTAATTTCCTTGAGTTATCTTTTCATGAATAAATTATGCCTTTCCTAGCTTCTTCTTTGACTCGCTATGTGAGGCTGAGCTATCGATGAATCCACTTAAAATCCCCATTTTGATCTCGGGTTAAAATCGTTAGTCATACAAGGATATATTTTTTAGGAAAGGAGAAAAAATTACAACATTTGTATTGAAATTCAAAAATTTTGACTCCGCAATCCTACCTTTCCGATGCACACTACTTGATGCACAATCTCCCTCCCCCTCCCTCAAAAAAGAAATCGGAACTCCCTCCTTCCACGGATAAAAAACGGCATATTTCGATAACCTTTTTACCGAGACCATTGACAAATATTCGGAAAGAATCGACGTTTAGCTCTGATTTTTGCTTAATGTCACGCAGGGTTAGGTTTCTTTCATCCTCTACTTATCATAAGGGCGCATACTCCTCCCGTTTCCCAGGTGTGCGTGACGTCATTTATGACGACTCCAAAAGGATGTAATACATCTGAGAAATCTGCCATGTAACCAAGCAGCAAAATTTCTCGCAAAGTAGCAACGATTACTTTCGAGGAGAAGGATTTTTGTGAGATAATAATCGATATTCATCAGAATGATCAAGATTCATCGAGGTAAACTACTCACGTTGACTCGATCATAGTTTCAAGTTGTACAATTATCAGCGGCACTCCTTTATTTCGTCCTCAATGACATGTTAGAGGTTCAAGCACCAAGGACAATCAAGGGTAGTGGCGTAGCTAGGAATTCGTTAAGGGGTGGGGGTTCGTGATGGTAAATTTACATTATTTTGTGTACGTTCCTGATAATATTTTATATCTGCCCCTCAAAAGTAAAGAAAAGATACAATTAACTAGACTAAGGGGGGGGGGGAGAGAGTCTAGGTCTACGCCCCCGCAAGGATCCTCATGGTGGCATCGCTAGTTGACAACATTTTCTTCTTCTTTAAATCTGTTATACTCCTTATAATTAATCAATATGTAGCAGGCAATTAGCGATCACCGGCGACTTGCAATCTAATTAGGTTGAAGAATAATGTAACAACTGAGAAGTGAAGAAGCAATGTAGAAAGCACTGACTGTTATGCTTTGAATTCAAACAAATATATATTTCTTTATTTATTCATTCTTAAATGAGTTACCGAGTAGCATACTTGCGAGTGGGTGCAATGAAGTAAGTTACCTTAGGTAAATTTGGTTCGGAGAGGCAACTAAACTATCCGCCTAGCAAAGCGGAGAGTATCACCAGGATTTGAAGGCGCCTGTTTCGATAAATATCCATTGTTTTCCGAGCGTTTAAATAATCGAAGTACAGTAGAATCTCGATTATCCGCGATTCAGACTATCCGCGGTCCGTGGAGCGGATTTTTTTTTTTTTACTTTTTCTTTTTCTTTTGAAACCGATCGGGACTGAACGGATAAATTCGGGGTCATTCCTCTCCTCTTTGGAAAAACCATCTTTCTAAAACGCATGGAAACAACGGCAGCCGAGAAAAGGCTCAAATCCATGACTCAATCTTCCATCAAGAAATTCTTCGAGAGATAAAGTTTAATTTGTTTAACAGGAAACGTTTATTGATTCTTAGTTGATAATTATATCATTTTCTAATGCATGGTCAGTGTCTTTACTGATTCCTTTAAAATACAGTCTTTCCGATGAATCTTTCCAGCCGTCTTGCGTAGATTCGGATTATCCGCGATTTTCGATTATCCGCGGTATCTCCGGTCCCAATTATCGCGGATAATCGCCAAATACTGTACCAAATGGCGAGAATAGCCACTTGAGAATGGAGATGTTGCATGTGTGAGGGATTTGCGATTTGACTGTTAATTCTTATGTAAAAGTTTGTGAGAAACACGATGGTGCCACTGGTTTTCACTGAGGTCAACTCCCAAGCTCAAAAAAAGCTCTCAAGTTGAGGCCAAAATGGAGGGGATATCCCACGCTATCCTGAGAGTCCACGTCTACATCAAGACAAACTCTCCATGCAAAGAAAGGGAGCAAATACATTGACAGGGCTGCCACTTTATTTGGGGATTCTAAAACTGAAACTGAGAGTTTGTCTTGATGTAGACGTGGACTCTCAGGGTAGGGTGGGATATCCCCTCCATTTTAGCCTCAACTTGAGAGCTTTTTTTGAGCTTGGGAGTTGATTTCAGAGAAAACCAGTGGCACCATCGTGTTTCTCACGAACTTTCACATAAGAATCAACAGTCAAATCGCAAATTCCTCACACATCGACGGTAAAACTACCAAACCACGTATCTCGGTTTGCGACGTCGCAGACTTCCTGTCATACTTTATTTTTTAAATAGAAAACTACTCAATGTCAATTCGTGAAAACTACCGTGATTATTCCTCTTGGTGCGGAAAAAAACCTGTAAAAATTGTAAGGAATGATATTGATTTGACCACCTTCAAAAAATGAAATGTGAGTGGAGATTTTTAAACACCGCAAACGAGATACGTGGTCTGGTAGTTTCACCGTTGAAATGCAACATCTCCATTGAGAACCCGAGCAATCCAGGTCAATCGAGCAGTGGATCAACTTACAGTTGTATAATTTAACGTCTCTACTTAATTCTTCTACTTCTCCTACTTCTTCGCAGGAGAGACAAATAGAAATTTGGAAGCGCGAGCTGAAACCGGAGGACGAGTATGGTTCGAAGTATGCTGTGGTGATAGTGAGCCGAAGGGAGGATGGAACTCCTTATCCCTACAACGTAACGTTACAGGCGATCGGGCTTACGCATCCTAACGGCTACTACTATAGGGTGAGTCACCAGTGAATGTTTTTCAGCTCATTTCACCATCGATACTCCATTTAAAAACGAAGATCTAACCAGGTACTGTAAATTTAAATACCAAGGAGGTTCGGTGGTGTCTGAAGGGAACTTTCAGAAAAAAATGCATACATGCACTCAAAAAGATCCTGAAATTTTTTGAAATTTTAACTCTATTTGCACGTATTTCGAGGCTTCTGTAACACGGATTTTTCATAAATTTATGCAGAAAATTACGCTTTTTTTATTTTAACACAAAATACTTTCAAATTGTTACATTCAACAAAGCTAGAAAATTGTTGACATTTCAACTCTATTTGGATGCATTTTGAGGCTTTTCCGACGAAAATTTTAGGAATGAACACGGTGTTTTCAATTAACACTCTACATTAAAAGAGATAAATATATTTGACGGTCTCAAACTTTATATTTTCCCGCACTTTCTCATCTTCTGTCTCAATTTTCCTTCTCTCTTTTCCTCCTTTTTTTGTTCTCGGGGCTGACTTTTTTGCTGGCTACGTGCCTGCATAGAGAAAAAAAAGGAGGTGTTTGCATTTCGGGCATCTTAGAATATTTTGATGACTTGATGACGTAGGTGGGTACAGCTGGGTACAGCGACGTCCCATTCACGCTGTACCCACCTACGTCATCAAGTCATCAAAAAATTCCAAGATGCCCGAAATGCAAACACCTCCTTTTTTCTCTATGACGTGCCTGTTACTAATAAAATATTCAATCTGTTGACAGGATGTTTTCAAGCATAATGAGACGGAGCTACAGTACGTTCAACCAAAATCCTTCATAACCGTCAGAGTGGTTCCTCAAGGTAAACTGTTTTATTTTTAAGTGACGTTTTATACAGATATCATACAACATAGATCTCTAAAGGAATTTTGAAATTAAGTATTATTTTTATCATAGGGGTAGTTTGCGGTCTCCGGGAGCTTGTCCATCGTGAAAGCTCTCCCTCCACCATGGAAAAATGTGACTGTGCGTAGCCGCTCGACACGTGGGGAGGATACACATGGGCTCTCACCCCTCTTTATCCCCCACACAAAGTTTTATGGCTACGCTTTATCAAATGAACCGAAGCCATTAGAAAGGAACCAACCCACATTTTTGAAAAAGTTGAGTTAAGAATTTTTTTGAGTGTCATTAGTCGTATATTTGCTCCTGCCAAAAAATGAAAGTCTAAAAAAAAAATTTCCGTGAAAAGAGGGGTTTAAGTTTATTTTTTATGTTGAGTCTTATGCAGGATAAACCTCAAACCTCTTTTTCTCAGTTAATGTGGGTTGGTTCCATTCTGATGAACTCGGTCCAAATAAGATGACTTCCATATAGAAACAACGGGCGTCAAAACTGTCAAATCGTAGTTTGAGGGAATGTATACGATGAGGGAAAATTTGTATACGAACAGTCCTACATTTTTGTACCTACGTCTTATTATTTTAAGAATTTTGATTTTAAATGTGAATAGTTTCTTTGACGCTATCCATAACTTACGGAGAAATTTCGACGGCAAGACTGCGATGTTCATAAATTCCAGCCTCCTCTTTAGTTTATGAAGAGAGCAAGCGCCTAAAACTACGTAGATATTTTCATGCGGAAGTTTTGGGGTAAATACAATTTTTGAACAAAAAATTTAAATGGGAATTTTATGGCCTTTTTTTAAATTTTACAAAATATTCGTAAATGCACGAAATAAAGTCCGCCAGACGACACTTTAAATTTTGACGAGGTGAGTTGTTGACGCTGTTGGAAATTGCAGGTCAGTATTAAATAACAAGGAAAAGTGGGATGACTCGAATTGGACAGTGAGTGCCTGTTTGATTACGTCATATATATTCTCCACCGTTTCGAGGCGTCGTAAAGTGTCAAATTTTTGACGCAGTAGGTCAAATTTTTGGAGTTAAAATTGATCTTTGGGTTTCATTGTAAACTGCATTGAGCGGGACAGGTACAACGTGATCCAGAGAACCTCTTTCACCCTGAAAGATCCGAAACCCGAGGGCAGTAGAGGTTCAATATCGTAGAGCGCCATGTAAGAGTGCCATAAAGCGACTTATACATACATATGTATGTATGTAAGATCCGAAACCCTCTGATATCCCCCCTCACCATTTGAGCCGTTGACATATTAAGCGATATCCATTATTGAGGCTGGTAGTAAATTCATTAGTTTTGGATTATGACGTCACAAAAATTTTGAAAAAACTATAATATACCCAAAAAATTGAGAAGTCGTGGCTCCGGGACTGGAGGCACTTTTGGGGAAAACTTTTCAAAAAAAAAGTCATATTTTGACCTATTAGACACGCTCTCGCAGTTGAGGGCTTTAACTTTGGGACATGCCTTGTAGGCAAGACATCCAACTTAGATATGCTTCTAATTAATTGTGGTTCTCTGTTCCAGGTTGCGTCGTTCTCAAAGTATTTGCGAGCAAGGAAAATAAGTCAGAAAACACGACAAACTCAACCACGACGCAGTAGAAGAAGTCAATTTTGAACCAGTTTATAAGCACATTTCTCCATCGTGGTCTGCTAAATCGTATAGGGATGGATTAGCTGTTAAATCAGCTCGAGAAAAATCAGCATTAATGAACAGGGGTCTACAGCCTACGTCGACTGTATTCCGTCATAAAAAAGGATTATTGATGAGAAACAGGTGGAAAGGAGTTTGTGTGAAGAACATGTCGGTCAACTTTTGGAATGTTAGGTAGATGAAGACTTGAACCCTGAATACAATGCAACCTGCATTGCGCGGTTTCTTTGCTATTGAAAGTGCCATATCCTTTTCTTTAAAGGTCAGATTAGGGACCTGTTGGTCATGAACGAAAATAAACGATTAAGAATATTTTATCCCTTCGTCAATCTGTCAGTGAAATATTCTGATTGTTGCTCTTTCTCTGTGAGAAAAATTCACCCATCTTCCGGTTTGCATTTGCGTAAGTGATTTGGAACCCTCTAAGGAACTTGGCTCTTGAAACTTCTTTAAAATTGATTACTTTTTTTCTCCGAAACAGAAGAATACTTTCTTCAATGATGGGATCTCTCTTTAAACTAATCTAGGTATCTCAAATTGTTTAACGTAAGACTAGGCTTAGGAGTCATTTTTCTTGTGCAAAGACGAAAGAATACATTTTTAATGAACCCTATTAAAGCAAGGAAACTTTTAAGGCTAAAGGCAGCTACCGCTAGTTTTACTCATTTCATTGATATTTGACGGTTGGCGAGCCAGCAATGTTAAAAAATGGTCTACAGCAAATAAAAAGAGAAATTTTTCCGTGAAAATTTAAAAAATCTGCAGGCAGAAATCGACATTTTTCAAACGGGGAGTGGATATTCAAATCATTTTCAGCTCAATTCAGCGTTGCTTCGATGACCCGATTGTATCTCTCTTCCGGCGTGAGTCTAGTGGCTTACGAATGAAAATCACTGCCCCTAAAACCACAGAATATTTTCTCAAATAAAGGTGCTCACGAGACATCGTTATTTAGATTCTTTGCACGGCAAGGAACATTTTACGAAATCTTCTCAACATCAGCAAATACCGCTGGGATATTGAAAGTTTTACTCTTTAAGCCCCAGCGGCGGCCGCCTTTCGTTGCCGAAGGCAGATCCCAGCGCTGCAGGTAGCCGAAGAGGCATCAAAAGACCGCGTCGGAAAATTCAGCTGCGCACAGTGGAACGAGTCTTCGAAAGAATTCGGACATAAAATATATCACAAAAATTGCAACATTTTCCGTTTTTCTCGTCATAATTTTAATTTTTAGGAGTGCTTTCAAAACCTTTTACGAGTAAACCAATGAAACTACTTTGAAAACATCAGCATTTCATATTAATGAAGATACACTGTTTCAAAGTTTTTTAATCATGTCCGACCTCTCCCGTCGACTCGATCCACTGTGCGGCGCGGTGGCCGGGAAACTAAAACAACTCGAGAGCGGCCCGCAAAAACAAACGCTGACCCGCCGAATTCCCAACTCCAAACAACCGTCGGAAAAGCGCGCGATATAAACGCGAGCGGGGCCCCAAAAAAATTCACTTCAGTTTTGACTTCGAACGAGCACCCGACACTTGCACCATGGCTTTCGCTGCTCTGACCGTCCTCGCCTGCTTGGGCGCCGCCGCCGCCTACGAATACGACTACGCCCCGGCCGCCAGCCCCTCGTACTTCGCCGACTCCTACCAACAGTACCAGTACCCCCAGCAGCAGTACTACCAGCAGCAGTCCTACCAGTACCCGGCCTACCCGCAGTCCTACCGCACCTACGCCCAGGCCCCGGCCAAGATCGAAGCCGCCCCTGTCCAGGCCAAATATGACGTCATCAGCCAGCCCTCATACAAGCACGCCCACGCTCCCTGCCCGGCCCCCGTTCCTGAAATCAAACCCGTCGTCGTGAAGTCTCAGCTCCCTGTTCCGTTCACCTACGGAGTTCACCGTCAACCCCAGGTCCTCGAGCACCACGCCGCTCCCTCCGTCTTCCACTACTACGGACAACCCTACGTCGTCAAGCACACCCAGAGCGCCGTCCTCCACGCCTACACCCAGAAGCCCGTCGTTGTCGACAACTACGAGCACCCCCAGGTCCACGAAGAGTACGCCAAGCCCGCCGTCATCGTCGAAGAGGCCTGCCCCGAAGTCGAGCACTACCACCATTAAACGCCCCTCTTGTAAGTTGTTTCTTGCCTAGCGCACCCATGTTCCTCAGTTGATCATAATACAAACCTGTTGTTAATTACCTCAATCCACGCCTCTTCGTTTTTTACTCCTATCCTGATTAGTAGTAGGTAAAGCACAAAAACATAGCCCGAATATACAAATAAAGAATAAGGAGAGAATTAAAATATGGGTAAACAAAGCTAAAACATTAAAAACACTAAAAGGCAGGACGTTTCGAGCTGTTACCAGCTCATTTTCAACAGCAAAAACACATAAAAACAAGTAAAAAATTGAGTGGTAAAGCCTGACCCCAGCCGTTATCACGTAACCACTCAATGTTTTACTTGTTTTTATGTGTTTTTGCAGATGAAAATGAGCTGGTAACAGCTGGAAACGTCCTGCCTTTTAGTGTTTTTAATGTTTTAGCCTTGATTACCCATAATTTAATTCTCTCCTTATTCTTTATTAGCAGTAGGGTGAGATCAAAAAGACGGATGTAACCAGTGGCGACTCTTGAAAGTTCTCAATACTGTTTTTTCTCCATTTAAATGCATGTAAATGAATCGATTTTTGATGAGGATTGCTTCATCTAAAATCGATATTTTCAACGGATTTAAATGGAGGGAAAAAAGTGTTGCCAATTTGCAAAATCGCAACTGGATGCAACCAGAATCAGCCGAACTGCATTTTACGTGCATTTCCATCATAGTTCGTATTTTTATCACAGATCTAAACAGCGTACCTTTATTAATCCCTCAATAAATTTTCTCTTGATTTCAAAAAAATATTCCCACAAAAATTAAATCCAGAATGTTGCTTGGTTTTATTTTAAAAAAATAATAAAAGTTGAGAAGAAATCAGGTGTCCAAATGGATGAATTTAAGCAAAATCACTCTACCACATCAGGTGTTGCCAGTTTTATTTTAATAAACAGAGAACTAATTGACATTCCAACTTAAAATTTCTATGATTATATGTATATTATTCCACAGTCCAGGTGAACTTCATAGAAAAAAGTTTCTAGGCTAAATTTAATGCAATTATCCATCAAAAAATTAAAACATGAGTGATAATTAGGCACTTTGAAATGCACACAGGCTTATTTTAGTGAAATCCTTTCAAATAATGTTTTGAGTTTGTGTGCCAACACTTTTACTGTCTATGCTGTAGACTTCGCGAAAAGTCTAGGTATACCTCTGGCACACGGTTTTGAATTATACTCAAAAATTCACTTCATTTCTAATATATTTAGATCTTATACGCATTCTTACTAGGCAGTACTCAATTACCCATGAATGAAGTCGGAAAAATGCGTACATACATTGCAGCTTTTTAAAATTCTCCGATCATGTTTTCTTTTTGTACGGAAAAACTTCAACTAAGTTGCGTTTTTTAAATTTCCTGAGAATGAACTTGAATGCATAAAATCCATTCACAGGCAATTTCAAGAGCAATTGTAGATAAGATTTCCTTTAAAGAAATAAAACATGAGCGGGAATGAACATTTTTTGACGTTAGCTATGGAGATAAAGATTCCTACGAAAGTTGAGGGTACGAAGTTCGTAAAAATAGAGTAAAAATTCATAGCTTATTTTTCCATCTGAGCATATGCTCTTTAGAGTGAAAAAAAAAAAACTGGCGTATGTCAGGTGAATGAATGATAATATTAATAAATTGCAGTATGAAAGTTGAATATCGCTCTCATTTAAAGCGCACTTTACTCCTCTCATGAATGCGAATACATTGGGAGCCTCGCTCGGGAAAAACATGATAGGTTTTATTATCCTAAACACTGATTATTAACTGATTTTTTTTTAAAAAGGATCAGTATGCTATTTTCAATCTTTTCAATTTTTATTTTTAACGGAAAGCAAAATATTTTTTTCCCTTTTACGAGATTTATTCGTGTTTAACTACAATCAGGTAATACGTGTAAGTATTACAAATAGCCAAATATATTAATACTTCAATAATGTTAACAACATTTCCTGTTCACAATACAATATCAAAGTATTATGAAGTATGAGGATTAACGATGAAAATGCGCGTCCCTCAATTTTGTGAGGAAAAATAATATGAAAAGGTATAGTTCCTTTTCACAAAATTTGATGCTGCCAGCTACAAGATCAACAATTAAGGTAAGTTAAAAACATACATTTGATAATTGAGATAAAAAAGTGCGGATCTCTGATAATGCGCACGCGTAGCAGATCTCTGCCCGATTTTTACTTTCGAAAAAAAAACTAACAGTTTTTCCCGTAGTGACACTCATAAACCAAGGGGTAGCATCGTTGGAGAAGTTCGCACTTTCAAAAATAAGTTTTAAGAAGGTTAGGTGGAAAATTGAAAAAAACATTTCGTTGGCCTTCAGATAAAAGGATTCACCTGGGGGATATTATTTTGCCGCCTTTGTGGATGCTGTAAGAGATATTTGATCGAAAACCAAGTTACCCGCGTCCAAATAAATTTCAATATAGGTATGAAAATCAGTGGCAAGACGTGAACGATCGATTATCGATATTTCTCTATTTGAAGCTGTCGTAAAGAATCGATTATCAAGGTGATTGTTTGCGAGCAACGTGTTCATAGATCCTTTTTCATAGGTTTAAATAGCAGATCAATCCATGTCGCAAAGCACGCCACGCCACTGATGGAATTCCGTTTAAAAATTCGGTGCGTTTTTTATTATGACATGAACATAATCCCTCGTGGGCTTGCATTTATTTAGCCATTTCAAGGAGCTCATAAATGCGAAAATTCTGTTTTCGTCATATTCCAATTTTTGATCTGTAATTACTCTTGTCCATTTGATTTTCAGCAAAGGTATCTTGATTTACCTTAAAGAATGCGATCTGCCCCAGCGTGACAGTAGAATAGAGAGCGAGAGGCGAATTGTACATAAGTATTATTTATTAATTATTATATATTAATTATTACTTATTATATATTATTTATTAATTATTACATATTAATTAATATGAAGGGCGAAATTTTCCATAGTTATCCTTTATCATTTTCGTTCACGGCACGGGGGTCCGATGTCCAAAACTGTCCTTGTTGTTTTGAGCGTGCAATTTTTCGTTCCCCCCCTCTTATATTTTGCATTTAACCTAGTTTGCGAAAAGAGGGTAAGCTTAATTTGGACGACTTAGTTGCCTTGTGGCTTACAATTAGCACGTTTAACAGATCTGGTAACTACATTTTCATCTCGTCCAAGAGACGGCTTTATTGAAAAATATTATCATGGGCATATGTTTTTAAGTTTTTACTTGCTCGTTCTTCTCGTCAAATTTGCTATAGAGGCAGAAGTTTCATTGTTGGTTTTGAAGATCACAATGTACCTGCTCAGGCATGAGAAGATAGAAATTCTTCTCTGTAGATTTTTCAATCTTGTCTTGAAACTTATACATTTAACATTAGGCAAAACAGTAAGTTCCAAAATTATACAAAAGCTACATTCCAAAAACGCACTCATTTTTAATTTTGTTGTTGCTTAAAGGTAGAGTGAGAATATGTAGTTTTACGAGCTAGTTTGGTCATTCCCAAAAAGATAATATCACAATGTCGCGTAACGCAGCTAATAAGAGCATGAGTCAACGCGCCTTTAAACTTCATGCGAACAAACTCC